AATGAGTATTGAGAAGAAAAGGCCCTTCTTTAGTCACCTAGGATAAGATACAAGTCAGATATACACATCTATTGGGGCTAACCTGCCGTGCCAGACAAGTTCACCAGGTTAAATCTAGAATGAAATTATTCACGAGATAAAAATCACGGTTCTTTCAAATGTTTCTAACATGTAATACTCATCGGTAGGTCTCAAACCATGGCAGGGATGAGGAAAGGCACTGCCCTAAAATAACTGTAATACAAGAAAATCAGGCATTTAACTCTACCCAAGCCAGAGGCACCACAACAAAGCTCACATCGTACAGCCACAGCTCACATCACACCACTGCATCTCCAGGAATGGCACAACCCTGCGTGCTGCAGATGACCATGTGTGTGCCCCTGCTGACCTGGACAGCATTTATAAGCAGAATTCTGAAGAAATAACTTCATGTACTTGGAAATTAGTTTTAAACAGGTCAGGATTATGTCTTAGTGTAAATGCCTGTTTTTAAGAACTTAAACTGAGGTGTAACCTACCCTGTCAGGCAGATCAAAAGACAAAGCAACATCACCTATTAATAAACACCTTTGCTCCTAACACCCAGAAGCCACATTAGGAACCCTATTCCCCTTCTGTCAGGTAATAAAGTAGCTCTTGAGAAAGCCTTTAACCCAGGCAAGGCTTCATCAGCTCAACACATTTTTAGCACACAGGTTGTTCTGCCAATGATATTTAATGGAACTCCTCCTTATGAAGAGGAGACTAGATGTGACTTCATTAACAGACCTGTGCGTAGACAGTACATAACCTAGTACTCTACAATAACCCTCACAGAAGAAACCCAGGCCCACTTTGATTACCACATGGCCCTGATACTTGGGAAATATCTCCAAGCCCCATCACAAATTACACGTTACAGGCTGGGAGCTCCCCCACGCCCTGTATGAAATCTGAAATTATTATTTATTAATAGCAATTGCTGATTTTTACTGTTCTCTTGTTTTCCTAAATTGAGGCCTAAGCAGATCTCATTTTCAGGCTGAGGAGTATTTCAGTGATCACTTCAGGGACATGTCAGCAGCCCTCCCACAGTCTCTGCCCTTAGCTGAAAACACTGCTGCCCTTCGGACCCCTCTAGGTCATACTACCAGAAGCAGGTAGGGAGGGTTGCAAACAAACTCAGTAACAAACATCCCCAGTGTATTTCTGACTGATAGAGGCAGGGGCTTTCCAGCTACTGCCTGCCCAGATTTTATAAGAGGGTACAAACCACTGCTGGAAGTTGGTTATGGACTTCTTGAAGGCAGACAAGGATGGAGCATTGGGCAAGACAGTCAGCAGATGCTAATTCAATAGCTGTCCCATCGATAGCAAGCTGGACAGACACACAAGTTGAGGGCAGACAAAGAATGCAAACCGAGCACTTGAGGCTGGGTGGAGCAGAAGAAACAGCATGGTCAGAAAAGGCAGCAATGCACACAAGAAACCTTGCATACAGAAATAAAGGTAAGTACTAATGTCCTGTTCTTCTGCAGAATAGAAGTTACCAAGTTACTCCTGTACAGAGAGTGACTGCCACCATTTCAAGGACAAAAATCAACCAAAGTTGGAAGGAGGCAAGTGGTTTTTATTGAATTCTTCATTGCTCTTAGCCCGGATACATTTTTAGACACGGGCATTTAGTGAACACATCCACGGAATCCTGCAATATCTACTCCAAGTGAATGAACTGTATCTTCTAAAAAAGCCACTACCCTTTAATTTAATTTTGGGCAGATTAAAACCAAGTGCACTCTCATCTGTGGCCATCTACCATCAAAAACTGGACTCCAGATCTGAGATAGACCCAAGAAAAAGCAAAACCTCAACCTGCTTCAGAACTGTTTGCATCTGGCGTTGTACTTGCTCTGCTCAACACTGTACTCAGGTGGGAATGTCATGAGCCACATCTGGAACAGGAGAGCACTTGGACAAGAAGCCCCCTCGGGTGCTTCATCTGACCCCCATTGTATTCCCCAAATCCTTTGTTCTAACGCCTCTCCTACACAACTTTGAATCTAAGCATCAGTATTATCCCCATGATGCAGCAGTACCCAAGTGATACAGTAATGCTCTTACAGAGCCATATTGTTCAACAGGGCTTCCAAAATCTTCTGATGTTGTTTTAGATGAAGTCAGCACACGAGGAAGGATAATGCAATTACGTCCATATACTAATAGGAGTTACTCTACTGTGATCACCAGAGAAGGCAGGGACTGTCTTCTATCGTGCAACCATAACCCAGTCTCACCAAGAAGTTACATGAACAAATAATAGCACTAAGCTACAATACAGGGGGTTCTCCATACTCCAGAGAATCTTGTGTGTAAAATACTCACACAAAAATTGTAATTCTTCTCTGAAGTGCAAATAAAATAAATTCAACAAGTGAATATCCAAGTGGATCAACTGAAATGGTTATCGGACAAAAAAACCCGGCTTTGCAACCGTGACTGGTCACTTCTCCCTGCCAGACAAATCCAGATCCACCCTGCAGAAAAATGAGCCTCCAAACAGAATGCGAGATTTGTTTCATTTCAGAAGGTTCCTGCACCATTAGATTCTTCCCTAAAGAAGAGACTTCATTGTTACAGCAATTAGTATTCCTCCACCCCAGCAAAGGGAAAAAAAGAGCTCTGAAAGGGTAATCTAGCCATTTCACAGCTTTGCCTCCTTACTCCACCCAGTCTCTCCTCTGCTCAATGGCTGCACACAGCATCCATAAACATGGTAATAGCAAAGGAAACACACAAAAACGAGATCCCCGAGAACGAGCTGGAGATCTGCAGTAAATCTTTCTGTTTGAAAATATTTTCTTTGTTTAGTTCCCCAACATAATTCTCCTATTTAACAAATGACTCTTAAGGGCAAATAACACCCTGACAGCAGACCCTCCCTCTCCTGAAAACCAGTCGAATGCTGCACAATCATTTACAAAATGATCAGCACTAAATGTGGGTTCTTTAACCCCCATCTCCCAATACGATAAACAATACTGTCATAGGAATCCACACTTAAATCATCTCCCCCAAAACACATAATTCAGCCATGTCAATACACCCAAACGTTTACTACAGTAAAACAGTGCTTATTAAAGATTTTTAATACAGCTCAGATTAACCTTCCACCATCCCCTGGTTAGATAATTCATTATGAATTGACTTGACCTGCAACAACCAAGCCCTCTGCTGCAGCACCACCAGCGAGGAAATCTCACCAGTAACACTATGGCAAAGAAAGGGAAGGTGTCACATTATTATTGGTATGAAAGGTCAAGTTTAACTGCATCCACCTTAACCAATAAATAAATAAATGAGCACCGATCTCACACCCACAGAACTGAGTAAACCCTAAACTTTCCAAAGGAGGCACCACTCCCACCCCCCAACTTCCATCAAAAGCCCTCCCTGCCTGCGTATACCCTCCTGCGAAACAAAAACCCAGCGCTAAACGGAGCGGTTCAGCAAACTCCATTGGTATGAGGAGGCTTTCAAGGGAAGTCTGCGTGACTGGAGACACCCCGGCAGCGATACGACCCCAAGGAGGAGAGATTAGACCTCCCTCCCCCGTTTTTACTGCAGCTGGCTCTGAAGGTCTGAGCCACCTCCTATCACCGCCTTCCCGGCGAGATCACTGCAGGGAAACAGGCTGGATGTGCAAGAAATCCCCAAAATAACCCCTGCTCCTCTCCCCTCTGTTACCAGCCCGGTTTTGTTTGCCGTGCTGAGCCGAGACGCGGATCTGGGCCAGCTCCCGACAAACGCCGCCTTGCCCTCGGAGAGGACGGGGAGCGGCGAGCGGGAGAGCCCTGCGGGGGGGCTCGGATGCTCGCCGTCCTCCCCGGCACACGCACACCCGGCTCCTCAAACCAGGCTGTATTTTTATCGCTACCCGCGCCCGGCCCACCGCCTCCTTCCCGGCATCTTGCTAAGTCACCGGGACCAAAGCGGCGGCCTGGGGGGGGGGGTACGCGAAGGCCGGAGCCCACCGCAGGGGCTCCCTCCCCGCCGCCACCCCACCCCGCCCCGCTCCCTTGTCTGGCCCACTCCTCCCCCGCGCCCTGTTTTCCTGCTAAGTCACCCACAGCGCGCACGGCGCCCACCGAGGGCCAGCCGAGGGGAGCGGGCCTCGCCCCGCAGCGCCCCCCCAAACCCCCAGCGCGCCGCACCCCGCCGGGCCGAGGGGCCCGGCCCCCGCCGCATCCGCCGCCCGCCCGCCGCCGCCCGGCCTCCCCGCCTCCGCCCCGGCTCCCTCCTCACCACCGGGCGCGGCCGCCATTTTGAGACCGAGCTGGAGAGAAGGAGGGAGGGGGCAGGGAGGGAGCGGAGGGCGGGGAGCAGCAGCGCAGGGGAGGGGGAGCGCGGCGAAGCGCCTCGCCTCGCCTCACCGCGCCGCGCCTCGCCTCGCCTCACCGCGCCGCACGGCCGCGGGGGCCCGGGCAGCCTCCCGCGGGGCCGAGAGCGGGCAGGGAGGGGAGGCGCGGGCCCGGCCTTACCCGAGCCGCCGCTGCGCTGTGGCGGCGCCGCCCGTCCCCGGCCGGTGCGGGGCGGCGCGGCCCGCCGTGCCACTGCGCATGTGCGCGCCGGGGGCGGGGACAGCCGTCCGCCGCCATCTTGGGACGCTCAGGGCGCGTATCCCGGCCTGCCCCGCGCCTCCCGGCCTGCTCCGCGCCGGGCCTGAGGGGCCGCGCTGAGGGACGGGGCTGGCGGCGGACACCGGGCACGGGCCCAGCGGCCCTTGGGCGCCGGCGCGGAGCCCCTTGTGAGGCGGGTCTGCCTTCGCAGGCACCTGCGCTCCTCACGCTCCAGCTTGCGGTGGAACCTGCTGCCCTGTCACACCCGTCACCAGTGCCAGTGACCGCGCCGCCTCTCTTTGCATCGGTGTGCGCATTAGGGATGGAGCTGCTTTAGTGTTGTCAGTAAGCGGCAAAATAAGAAAAGAAAAGCTGCACATACCAGTGAAGAGTAACGCTACAGGAGAGGTTAGGATGATGAAGGAAAGGCAGAGTAAATGCATCCCTCTGTTGTGTAGCTTGGAGGGTGCCCAATGGACTCTCCCCATCACCAGTGCTTGCAGGACACGCACTGCACAGACCCTGCCATATGCAGTGGTGCAGAGGACAAGGATGGGGTGTGCAGAGCGCAGCTTCCCCCTCCGGGCACCATGGAGCTGGTGCTGGCTTTGCCCTGACCCAGCTGGTGCAATGGAGCAGTCCCAGCGCAGGGTTACCTGCTCCTGATGTTGGGCACTGCCTTTGGCCTCGCCGCTGCCCTGGCTCGTGTGGAATCTGCTCGCAGGACAGCGTTATTCTTGGTGCGTACCCATGTCCCATACACCTGGGGTCACCAGATCTGAGGTGAACACTGATATCATTTGTGACCGTTACCTCTGGAGGTCCGGGAGCTCGGTGTCCCTGCCCATGGCAGGGTTGTGGAAATGGGTGATATTTAAGGTCCCTTCCAGCCCAAGCCATTCTATGATTCTGTGTCCCTGTGCCTCTTGCTAGTGCACATTCACAGTATCAGCATGATTTACACTTGGAATAGAATGCTTTCATAGTCTTCTTCAAACCCTGCTAAGGTAAATCTCAGATATCCTTGGTTGAACACATCAGTGTTCCTAACCGTAAACCAAAGCATAGCCCACTGGTCATGTAATCCACGTGCTCAAAAGAAGTGACTGACAAGAGAGTACAGAACCCTGGAGAAAGGGGGAGCTGGCAGTGGACCCAACCAGTGCAACTGTTCAATCACGGCAAATCCAGGTGCCAAACAAAGAGCCCTGCGGCCACAGGAAACAGTTACCTGTGTCGCTGTCAAAGGCCAGTGACCAAAGCCACTTCTAATGTTGGCAGCGTAACACAACGTTGAATGTGGGCCATAAAGGTTTCTGAAATGCTGATTTGGGAAAGAAGTAATTTCACATGTAAAATCATGTGAGTAGCAAAAACCTGAATCTCCAAGGGACACTGACGGATTCATACTCAAATCTGTAGGTTTGTCTGGTTTTACTGCCAGTAGCAAATAAAGTTTGTGCCATGAATCTCTGTTATGCACTGAGGGCGTCAACAGTGTTTTCTGTCACCTTCACTGCTGTGCTGTGGCTTATGGTCAGTCACTTTCTCTTTGTAATGCTGTTTTATACAGCAGCAGGCAAGAGTTGCAATTTCAACCCAACATGCAATGCAAAACTGTAAATGTATCCAGGACAAATGATGAGTATGAACTGCATTTAACTTATTGACAGCATGACAAGTTTTAGGTCCATTTAAGCCTTGAAAACTTCTTACAGCTTACACACAGAGATGACGATGCCACAGACATTCCCAAATGCACTGGTGACATTCAAAATGGGCTGCAAGCGTGGAATAGTTCAGTTGCAATATACTGATGAACTTAACTAATGATGAGATAAAGAGTAGGCCAGATTTCCAGCATGTGTCAGGATCCTGTACCGACATTTCAAGGCAGTGTTTAGACACAATGGTACCAGCCATTGGTCAGCTTTAGCCTCTTGAATTGTTCTCTGGCAATTGACATACTTACAATTTTTAAACTTGTTGAGTGCATTTTCTTATCTCTTGAGGCATGCAGCCGCTGCCTCGGTTGGGTTTTCATGTGCTGATTAAACAAGGGCAGGAGTAGCTTAGAGCCCCACTCCTGCTGTGGGTAAAGGAGAGGAGCCCTTTCCCCCTTTAGGTTAAGTACCTGTGAACATGTTCTCAGGTGAGTTTTTGTGCATGTACCTTATGTCCTGGAGTCCTGTGGGCTTTGAACTGCTGAGCACAGGGCTTTGAGCTGATGGCTCAGGCATTTTTCATCCATCCATCCATCCATCCATCCATCCATCCATCCATCCATCCATCCATCCATCCATCCCCCCATCCAAGCTGTCTAGTCTTTATCACACCAGTTTGGCTATAATGATACCAGGAGACCACATCCAAAGCCTTGCTGAAGTCAAAGTAGACAGCATCTACAGCTCTCCCCTTGTCCACAGACTCAAGGGATAACGAGTCACCTATCTGAGAAATTAAACCCATTTCACAGAGATCAATGAATTTTCCCAATGCTTTTAAGTCCTAGGTATTTTATTCTCCTTTTACAGCTGACCCTCCTTGTGGTATCACTGCTTGATACTGGAATGGAAAAGAATCCCAGTTCCCAGCATGGATAAAACATAAGGAGTCTCAGAGCCCATTTTCCTCAATACTTTACTGGATTGCCACAGTACACCTTGGTAACAGGAATCACAGCCCTCTGCCTCAGTGGGGGTGTGCAGATCAGAGTTACATAGCTTCTCTTGATTCCAACTTCAGTTTTTCCTTCAGGATATCCCTGAAGTGTATGTTTACAACAGAGCCATGCTGCAGAGTGAGCCAGGCTCTTCAGTGTGCTTTTCACCATCTGGGGTGGCACACGCAGCTCCATCTACTGCACCAGAGATTACACATTCCAGAACGTTAAAGCAAACCGTGCTAGAAGGTTTCTGCTGAACGCTGAGAACTTCATTCATTCATAATTCACATGTTGCCTGTGAATGAAAGCTGTCATTAATATTCCGTGTGTGTACATATTCGTGTAGCAGAACACCCGCGGGGACTGTACTGCTGCAACCAGTGAATTTACATCTCGTGAGTCCATGGCAGGGCCTGGCTGACACAAGTAAAGCAGGACTTGGCTCTAGAAGTGCAAAATCATCCGTTCGTTGGGTCCTAGGTGGAAGCACAGCCGTGTGCATTCTGCCATCGTGGGTTTTCTTTTAACATCACTTGGGGTTTAACTTAAAGATATTGGAAAAGAATATTATTTTTGCAACCAAAACAGAGCAAAAATACCAGTATGTGTGAAAATGTTGTGTTCCCAATGCAAAGCAGAGCACAAAAAGCATTCAGGTTAATTTTTAATGTGTATTCACGTTAGATATCCTACTTTCAGCACTCCTGTGTCCTTCCCTGTGTATTATCAACATAAGGAGAAGAGCAACCTGTAACTGTGCCCCCTCTACCCAACATGCTAATAGCATTAAAAAGGAGAGAAGATAAATCAATCTGGTCTCTAGTGGGTTCAGAACTGAGAACCTGAGCCTTGTGCAGTCTTTACCCATCGCAGCAGGGGTTTTTACTGAAGTGAACCCCTTTTCACATTTAGCAATCCATTTTTAGTACTGGAAGTTCCCATGCCTGTGTTCCATTCTCCCTCCCAACTGGCCGTCATAGCAATGGCAGCATTGTCTTTCTGTACCTCAATTCAAGAGTCTGTTTCCATGGATGTTATTTTCACATGGTTCCTTCTTTAAGCTCACACATTAGCCCAGCAGCTCCTCTCCCTGGAGCCAAAGGTTGAAAGTCCAGGTAGGAGCAGCATTTCATCAGCTTCTCCGTTTCAGTTTTGCTGGCTGCACCCTGGCAGAGCACCTACATAAACCTGATTGTTCCCCTGCGAGTCTGTCAGCTCCGTGCCCGCCACTCTGTTCACTCACAGTTTATCTGCTGGCTCCTTTGCGTGGCCGTGTGGGTGTGAGCAGTGGCTGCTGTCTGTCACCTTCAGTCTTCTCTGGCCCCATGCAGTGAGACATTGGAAGTATCCTTCCTCATGATGCTGTGCAAACAAGATTGCTTATAATAACCTTGACAGAGTTTTTCCCATGAGGGTTGCAGGTATTTATTGTCATACAAGAAGATGTTTTCTGTTCCCAATTTTTTTAATTTAGATGAAATTACACTTATTCAGTGGATGAATATTCTTATTTTAAAATCTTTTATTCAAAATGTTCAGCAAATTATTCCTTATATCATCAGCATGGTTTTATGAGTTCAAGTGAATGGCAGTAACGTGCACATTACGGTTAATGTATAGCAAAGCAAAGCAGAGATAATAAAAGATCTACCTTTCAATCTACCTGGGCACACACTTTGGCATGCCAAAGATGCACACAGCTTCCATGCTAATCCAGAGGGGTTCTACAGCTGAACGTGCAGATCAGGTCATCACACACTCCCGTAGCTAACGAGAATGATTTGTGTGCCCAGGTACCTGATTTGCATAAGAAACTGCTGCAAATGCACATGCAGGTATGTTAGATCAGATAAATCACTCCTCAGTCTTACAGATGTGTTTCTGAGCACACCGCAGCTGCAATTAAGCAAAGTTTGATGTACTCGAGGTGCAAGCCTTTGTTGTGCCTTCTTCATTCACACTTGTCACCTCTACAAATCACACTTCAAGATGAAATCAGAGGAATGAGAGTACAGGCCATCGGCAGCACTAATGTCAGGTTGCTCCACACATTTGTGTATCAAACAGCAAATACAGTGCAAGAGTTGTTCAGTGCTTAGGGAAAGCAAGCCAGAGCACATCAGCATGAGGTAGTAGCATTAAAAGAGGGGAGCACAAACTAACATCAATGTATTCTTAATCCATAGTTATCCCAGATTTGGATTAAACTGCCTTCTGGAGGGGTTTTAGGGCCCTTTTCATACTGAAGGGTTTCCCTTTGGCTGCAGCATTTCTCCTTCTGATGGGTTTATATTTTAACAAAGGCTGGGAGAAACTTTTATGCCAAGTGCATCGCTGGAGCTGCTGCTGAGCCCAAATCACAGTTAAAACAAAGAAATGTGTTGCTTTTTAATTCTTTAAATTCCATTGCTAATTATAGTAGTGTGTAATCGTGTGTGTTGTTACTGCTGACACTATCCACCCCTTCTGAATTCCTTTCACTATATTCCTTTTTGATTGAAATAATAAAGCACTGCCAGCAATGCTAAATGACACTGTTTGCATTTTATGTATATATAATCATCAAGCAGCAATGGGTGGGTTCATTGCACTCAACCTAATATTAAAACATGTTCTCATGTTATTCTTCATGCTTTTGTAATTTTATTGTTTATATGTAACACAGAAATCTGGAATTTGCCTCTAAGTTAAGATCTTGTTTCTTTCCTTCAAATTATTTTCAGCCATATGTATTAATTTGTTACTGCAGAATCACAAGAAGCTCTTGAAAGTTCTGCTCCTACAGCAGAAATCTGCTGCTGAAGCTGCTGTAAAGCAATAGGGAAATAGAGCCTCTGCCCCAAGGATGCTGCGGCAGTGCAGCCACACTTGTAATGGTACGAGTATCTTTAGTTGATGCAGGAAAATCAGAGGACGGTGTTATTCATGTCATTACCATTATAGAGGTGGGACATGGAAAAAGCAATGTAGGAACTGCAACCTGTGGGTGCTGTGAAGGAAACGTATCTGCAGCTCCTGACCCTGTGATCGTGACATGTCTCACTGACATCACATCTCATTGCTCTGGCAGGTGCAATGTGAGCTGAGCTGGCTGGAACACTGAGCTGCTGCTCTCCGGAAGGATGATGGACTTTGCAGCTGAAGCTATGAACAAGCCAACAGATTTGTAACATAGGGGCCAAGGTACGCAGGGAGCCTGCTCAGGAGCTGCTCCAAAGATGATTTTGATCTTATATGTCTTCTAATCAAAAATACAGTCTTGAACAGAAACACTTACCTCATACAGGCATTTCTTTCCCCTAACGTACTATTTAACTAACAAACCTGTTCTAAACTTAATAAAGTGTCAGTCTATTCCCCTATTAAAATCAGCAACATTTTACAAAAATCACCATTCAGATTTGTAAATGCCACATCCTGATGCTGCATTTTTAAATTTGAGAGTATTTATTATCACCAGAAAAATCAGAATTCTCTTTTGGAGGGGAAAATTTGCAACTCTTGTTAGATGGCTGCTGTTGGTCTAAGTGGAAGGTTTAGGAGTTGAAATAGATGGTGCTGAGGCTACTGACAACATTTAAAAAGGTGGTCCAGGTTTCCTTCTCACAGGAAAGCAGAGTGCACCTTCCCTGCTACCAGGAGGTAGGTGGCTCATAATGCCTTGTGATTCACATACATAAGAATGTACCATGGACAACCCAGGCACAGATACTCACACACCCTCATCAAATTATGTTTGACACATTCTTAAAATGAAACTTTCTGACTGCAATTATCCTCATTAGTTGTGCTGTGATTCAGCATTGCACTGGCTAGTCATGGAATACTTCAGTGGCTGTTCTCCACAGTGTATGTCAGAAGGAAACAGTACCCTTAGCTTGCCTTTTGATTGCTGTTTTTCCTCTGGGGTGCAGCTGTAATGAATAGTACTTTATCTAAAAAAGGTTGTGGGAAGGACCACCTGGAGACACTGCCTCTTGTAGCAGGTATTTTCTAGTAAATGCACTGAAAATTGTAAATGGAAAAAAAAAATCTGAGATTTAAAACTTTTTTCCTGACAGCAAATGACAGAAGACAGAGTGGGGAGGAGTGCTCGCTGTACTCCTGGGATGCCACCAGCCCTGTGGAATCTCAGCACTGAAAACTGTAAGTGACAGAAGCCATAAAATGATTAATTCTGTTGTACAAATATGCAAATATTTCCTTAGGAACCAGATGTGAGACTGGAATTACAAAAATCACATTTGGGAGGTTCAGTTTGTTACCCTTTAATGCATTGTGACATCCTTGGTTAGTAACTGTGTTAACAAATAATGATAGTAAGAACATTATTTGAGATGGAGAAGAATTTCTAATGGAGACTGATTTACTAGTTCATAAAAACTGGGCATGAATTCCTTGTTGGTTCATTGACAGAATCCCAGTGGATTTCCATTTGGCCTGGAGAGTTTTCTCTGTCCCCATTTCAGGCTTCACGGTGTTATCTGTATTCACTCCTTTATCTTGTATGGCAGCTATTTCATTATTAAGCAGGCTCTAAGTCCTGTTTGTTAGGATTCATCAAGCTGATGGTACATATCATAGACAAAAAGAATACCTTTTGTTTGGTTTGAAGCTGGCAATGTAACCATAACTGGGAGGGCAACTGGTTGACATATTATGCCAGAATAATTAAGTTAGGTAAGGCTGTTAAAAAGAAATTGAATTATGGTAAGACAGTAATAACTGCTATGGGAGTCTGGACTCAAACATGTTCAGCTGTAATAGATCAAATCAGTTCTGTAAAATTCACCTTTCTGCAGCTACCTACACGTCTGTAGGAGCAGGCATTTCCATATTCTGAAGCAGATACACCCAGTGCCGTTTGTCACAGAGACTGTTGCAGAGTAGAAATTAAGCAGCACAGACACTGCTCAGAGTTACTTTTGTGAGTTGAAAAGAAAAGTCAATTATGAGTAAAAGACCTGAATCATTTGGGAAAAGGGCCTGATCATGAGCACACTTCTGCTTTTTCCACTTCCTTCTCCTGCTGGTGCCCAGAATACTTTCAGCTATTACTTTAATGTGAGCAGCACCAGGCTCCATGTGCTAGCACAGCTTTCAGAAGTGTTCTTTGAATGTCAAGAAGTACCTGAAGGCAACTCCAGCAACACAGCTTTTGTTTTCATTTTCCTGACAGAAGAAAACCAAGCACCGACAACTGCAGTGTCAGTCATTTTAATATCCAAACCCATCAGATAAGTTTTAAATGTTTAAGAACAAATGCTCAAGGGAAAATAAACCAAAACTCTTCAGCCTAAGACATCACTCTTCAGAGTGTGTAACCTGCCAGCCTCTGTGTGCTCACTGTTAGGTACTTGTACAAACTACCCTTTTTAGTTCAGGGTGGTTTTCCCACAAGGGAATCATTCCGTGCTCCAAGTTAATTATGTTTCTCTCCTCTTGAGTTTCTTTACTAGCTAGAAATTTAAGCTAATGTAGTCTATTTTAGGTCTGTAAAAGTGCTCAGTGCTGTGATACCTATGTACCGATCTAAAAAGATTATAAAAACCTGCATATGGGAAGTAAGAGGACAGCTGGGGATCATCCTTGTTCTCCCTGAGCACAGTCTCTTTCGGCTGGCTTAAACAGTTGTCCTGAAGTGGTGCTGCATTATGCTATGCCGAATGTGTACATTTTAATGAGGTGAGTTAATCCCTATATTCTAGGAAAAGACCTTGATAGCATTATCTGTCATTACTTACAATACTGTGTGTGATAGAGTGCACAGAGCTGTTCTTGCACTGCCAGACCAGTTACAGGAAAACAGTCTTTTACAGGGAACTAAAATGCGTTTGCTCACAGGCTACTAATCAGTCTCTGTGGTGAGTATCAGGACCCAGAAATTACTGCTGTGTTTGCTCTGAGCAATAGAGAGGAGCAAGGGGATACTGGCAAGGTGCTAAGGAACAACTCACTGGCTCAGCCGCACTCAATTTGGGTCGGTATCAGCAGTGACAGCTAAATAACAGAAAAAGGGCCACATACTTTGCTAGGATAATACTGAATGCTGAGGTTTTGTAGTAAATCCCTTGCTCCACAATTTCCATCATCCTTGTCCACAGTTGGAAGTCTTCAAAGCCTGTTAGTGATCAGCAATAAGTATTCCACTGGCACCTAAGACAGGGAAAGTAAGACACCAGCAGTGCCAAATGTCAAGCTTGGAAATGACAGTTGTACTCATTCAGCAGAAGGGAGGCCACACTAGGAGCAAACACAGCTCTGTTCCAATCAGGGATCTAATCTTTGTACAATGATTGCAATTAACAAAGTACATTATTTCCAGTTCATTCTTAATGGATGTAAGAGCTTGACATTTGCTACTTACTGTAGCCTGAGAACAGCTTAAAACCATTGTGGAACCTCACAGTCATAGTCATTTGAAACTGAGAAGAACATTTCAGTACTTGTGATGCTCCTTTCTCCAAGATCTTGAAGTAATAAATCCAGTTTTCATAGCAAAACTTAGGCTGGTTCACTGTGTGATGCTGACACTACTCCAGGATTCTTTACTGATGTATTTTTGTGCACTCCATTCTTCATTTTCCTTTGCCTTGCTCCTTGTGGAGTCATTTACATATATGCAAAATGAATGTAAAAAATCAAATCAAAATTGTGGCCTTTCTCACTAAGGTTTTACAAGTGCTAATAATAAACCAGGGTGCGAGGCAAGTGGAGAATCTAGCCTTCGGGCATGAATCTGATTTCAGATCATTCTTGTGCCGTTCTTTGTTTGGATGTTATTCTTAATTTGTATCTGTATTTTTACTGGCCAGTAAATGCGCAGCAAACGGCACCATTCAGAAATGGTTGTGACACTCAGCAGCTAATACAAATCCTGATCTGGAGTGTGGAGAAGGATGGTGGGAAACGAGACAGGATGGACGGGGGGCGGGGACTTGGAATAGTTTAAAGAATTGGAGAAGGCGAGAAGGTCGTTTTATTCTCATTTAGCAATTAAGGCCGAGCCTGGCTTTATCCACCGGAGCAGACAGAGGGGAGCAGAGCCAGGAGGGGGTGTGCGTTGGGTGTTTCTGTGTAAGCACACCAGTGGGGATGGGAAGGATGAACGGAGCAAGCAGAGGAGGTGCTGTCAGCACCCGCAGTGACACGATGTCCTAGGAGGTCGGCAGTGGGCTCACAGAGCCCTCGCATCAGCCAGGTGGCCAGTTCCCCCTCAGCCTGCCAAGCGCTTGCTCGCCAGCCTGGAGCCAGACACAGTGCCAGGTGGCAGCTCCATCACCAGCATCCCATTAGCAGTGGCACTGGGTGGGAGCCAAGTGGGAAGGCAGCGCCGAGGCGGCAGCGCTGTGCTCCAGCCCCACAGCCGCTGCCTGGAGGTGTTCTGGAAAGCTCGATGTTTGTGAGTCTTTGCTTTGCTGGTTCACTGGTTTTGCTTGTTGGGGTTTTTTAAGCTGTAAAGCTGCCCAGATCTTCTGGGTGTCTCCAGTAGTAATCTGTCAGAACACTTCCTAGGAGCGAACTGTGCCATGCTGCATGTGGAGGGTCTGTCCCTGTTAGAAGGAAACTACCCCCATTCATTTACTTCTTAACATGTTTGAGTTAACTTAGTCCTCATCAAGAATTTTGCCTCTAAGGGCAGAATTCAAGCTCTGTTTTCCATACTGTTTCAACATTTACTGAAGACAATTGTCCTTCAGCCATAAGAGCAAAGTCAAAATTTACCATGTTTCAAGTCTTTTCCACTCCTTAGACATCAGGTCGTGACATGTAAGTAGGGAAAACTTGTCAGTTTTATACATGTTGTGAATAAATAGAGCTCTTCAGTTTGTAGCATCTTGCGTAAGTACCAAGGTATTAAAGAAATCAGGGAAAGGGGGAATACTTAAAAATTCATCTCTCTCTAGGCCTCTCTCCTGGTCTGAAAACAGCATTTCACCTTTAGCCTGGCAGTTAGGGCAAGAGAAACACTTTTGAATGAAGTAAGCTGACTGGCCAGAAGTGAGATAATAGTTTATAGGGATGGAGCTATATATAGCCTGAAGGATACAGCCTCCAGTGACTCAGGGTCTGCTCTCGGGGACAGGCTGGTCCAATGGCTCGATTCAAGTTCTCAAACACTTGATTCAGTTAACTCATGTGGTACTTGTCTGTATTGGATTTGTCAGCGGTAAGACAGGAATAGCAGATTTGATCCGTAACTTCTTGAAATCAATCAAATATCCCAGCATCTTTGGATGAAGGAGTTAGCAACTATGTGTTATAATACT